GACCTCCTCTGTACACAGTGCTCTCACTCTCCTAAACATCGCTGAGACTATGCTATCATATACTGCTTTTGGATGTGCAGAGGAGTAGTTTAAGACTGCATCACTATCTGTTGATTTCCGGTATACAGTGGTTTTTAATTTCTCACCACTCTTGCGTGTCATGCAGTCAAGGAAAGCTAATGTACCCGATGTGGATTCTAGCTCCATGCTAAACTTAATGTGAGGGTCCAATGTGTTCAGATGTTGAAAGAATTCGTTCACCTTATCCCGCTTTATTACAACGAACGTGTCATCTACGTAACGCCAGAACACCCTTGGTGGACACTCGAATCCGTTTAAAGCTTTCTGTTAGAAGTCTTCCATGTACATGTTGGCTAAAATCGGGGATATTGGTGATCCCATCGCTAGACCTTGATCTTGAGAGTATATAATTGAGTCAAAAACAAAATCACCGAGATTTAGGCATACCTTTATGCCTTCAACATCAGCGGACAAGCACGAAGCGCGCCTATTGTTAGCCATCGGTCAGCCTAAACAGGATGGCACCGAATGTTTGTTTAGCATCGAAGTGCCAGCCTTAACAAAGCCTATTAAGAAACTTTGCGCACCATAATCGCGTAACAAGTTGACGTACACTGTAGTCAATTCCCAAGAGAGCTCACAACCTCCAGCTGTTCGCCGATGACATTCAGCAGAGGTGTGGCTGAATGCTACAAGTTGTTTTTGTCAATATTCTATCCACAAAGGATGAGACCGCCTGAGTATCTTCTCATCTTTAGACTACCTCTCCCGACATGTTTAAGCTGAAAACTGAGGGGCTCTGAACGCCACCAACAACCTACGTCTGGGATGGCATCCAGGACGAACCCGAACGGGAAGTGGGAAATGCAACGATCCTAATGACTGACACCGCGACTTCAGTCAATCTTGTTACTCGCCTAAATACGAAGATGTATTGAACAACTAACTCATTCACAAACGGTAGCAGTGTTGATGTGGCACCTCTCGGCTACGCTGTTCTGCAAACGCATGTGCAGGCTCGAATCCGTTTCACGGTTCGCTTGATCTTCAACTGTGTCCACTAGCCAGGCTTACTCAAATTTGAGGGTGGAAATGATCGATCATATGCTTGGCAAGTTGGGATATAAACAAACTGCGGTGCTCCGAGGGTTGTTAACCTAACCAGCAAGCATATAGCAACGTGTTGTCAAATAGCGTTGCTAGGTCACCGAAATGTTAGTGATACGACCGTTGCTAGGCCATCAGTAGAATTAGGCAAAAATTGCGCGCGGTGTTAACAACAACAGGTGGACAATACAGCCTGTGCAATATGTATCCCACAGGGTGGTGCATCAACGGAATTGACAGTCGGGAATGGTAGGCGTACACCGCAAGTGTCACAAACAGTGGACTTGGCTTTACATGGTCAACTCAAAACGCCGAATTCAAAACCAAACTACATAAATGGGACATTGACTTCTCAAGCCAGTCGATTGATTAATCAGAGAAATAGTTAGAGCCCGAGTAAGATGTGAAAAACGCACTCAAGAACAATACTACTCACAGTGTTTTCCATGCCGATCCAAAGTAGACACGTGTCCAAGAAAAGATTCACCATTCTGGCCATTCGTAAGAGGAGACGGGGATGGGGAAGTTTCTGAGTCCGTACGAAAACGATTGTTAGTCGTCACAGTTGTTGCTGTGGTCGGGGCTGCTGACCGACTAGGAGGCGGGACGGCGGTGGGGTTCGTTGCAACATGATTGGAACCGATTACAGTGACTTTGGAGAAGAAATTCACACGCTTTAATCGTGCCCTTTGACGTCGTTCAATACGTTGACAACTCGGAATAATTCCCAATGGACTGCGAGTTGTAAGCGTACTTGTAGCCGACAGACTATCACAGGATCTAGGGTTCGCAGAACTGGCAGTTCCTTGATAAAGAAGCATCAATCGCCTGGCTTGCCACCACTCCTGATCGTTCGCATTCACAACGTACAGTATATCGCCATGTTGGAATGCCAATCCCTAGAGAAGAAAAACGGTAAGATCGGATGGATCGTGATGTGTACGTCGTACTTTTAAGGATGAAGCATTTTTAACCGGTAGTACTTTTAAGGAAGAAACATGCATACACTGGGAAAGAATGGCTATCGGTCGAGGGAGGAACACCCTTCGCTGCAAAGTTACTTATTAACAAACACGAATTAACCGGTTAGAAAAAACCATCAGGCACGAAAGTAAACATCTCATCCGCACAGAATTTTTAAAGGTGAACATTCGCAGGCGTCCTCTGGAACGTAGCTGGACGTTCTTTGAGTATAGAACAACAATGAAACGAACATTGCAAAACGGCTCCGTAATTTCCGCAGTAACCTTCACCTTCAATCCGATACGGGGACGGAGCTTGGATAACAGACTACTCACCTACTTCGTTAGTAGAATATACCGTCACACCGGTAGCGAAGTGGTATCAAAGTGCGTGTTGCGCAGATTGGTTCAGTATACGGAAAATCATCTAAGCGAGGTCGTTTGCCATCAACAGAGAGTAGAGAGAGAGCTGTTTAAGCATGTGACAACTACCTTGTGGCTTTGCACGCGGTGGGTGGTTGTGACATCAAGCAACGTGACATATTGTACGAAGGTAGCACAACGCACTAGAATATCCAAAATCAGGCTACGAATTCCCCTCATTTGTCTGAAATTGTGCGTATACCGTCCTCTAAAACTCCTATTCTATGATCAACTTCAATTCCTGCGCAGTGGAAGACACAGCGACGTTTGGAGAATAATGAGAAACAATGTCGACATGCGTGTTGCGCAGATTGGTTCAGTATACGGAAAATCATCTAAGCGAGGTCGTTTGCCATCAACAGAGAGTAGAGAGAGAGCTGTTTAAGCATGTGACAACTACCTTGTGGCTTTGCACGCGGTGGGTGGTTGTGACATCAAGCAACGTGACATATTGTACGAAGGTAGCACAACGCACTAGAATATCCAAAATCAGGCTACGAATTCCCCTCATTTGTCTGAAATTGTGCGTATACCGTCCTCTAAAACTCCTATTCTATGATCAACTTCAATTCCTGCGCAGTGGAAGACACAGCGACGTTTGGAGAATAATGAGCAAACAATGTCGACACGGAGAGACCAGGCGCTGTGTTCATACAGAAGCGATGCCAGTTCACTGAAACCTCAATGCCACACTGTCTCCAAAGGTGCTGGGGGCCATTTTAGCTTCGCTGGGCCATCTAGCCCCAGTCCATTCCCTGTGAACTACATTTCCGTGACCTAATAACCCACTCCATCGATCACGATTCCCTACAGAGGTTCCAGTCAACGCTGGAAAAGAACGAGCTGACTAGAACCTAGGTCACTGGAAAACGTTCGAGTCAATCAAAGGCACAGTCTCAATCACACTTTGTAGTAGATACTCACAAATTTAGTTTAAACCTCACTCCGGATTGGGCACAGTGTGTTTTGGTTGGACAGGTAAATCCTCACATCGATCAGTCCCCAGCGAAGGACGCTTTTTGTGGGAACTTGCACATTTGACGGGAATCTACGATTCCTAACACATACAACGGCCATTTGTACGACACTGGGCAAAAGAACACAAACACCACATTAGGATGCAATCATTGGATTCAGACGCCGCCTTTTGGTCTGTTGTCAGTGTTGTTTTCATGCTGGACCACTTGATTGATTCTCAGATTGCTCCATGCCCACCCTACAGGCCACGGAAGTGGCAAAGCACGATGCGGCGGGCGTTGCTTGTTTACAAAGCTATACGAAGACCGATAGTACATAGTAGACAAGGTCAGCTGCTGACAGCTGGTTCAGGGCAGGTAGCAGATATCCACACGAAAAATACCCTTAGTCGACTAGTACAACCGGTCAACTTTGAAACATTCGTTCGACTTCGGTTGCAAAAATCCATAGGCTGACTTTGTCAAGGGCATGAGTATGCAGAATAACGTTGAAATCAGACTTTCATTGTAATGCCATCGTGACAAGTGCACCAAATCAGGATCGATCAGCCGCTTAGTAGGCGCACGTGTGGACAAGAGTCAAGTTTCCACGAGCAACACGAAGCCGACCTACACCTGGACATATAGATGGATGGATGTGTGCAAGGACAATGTCATAGCACGTGACACAAGAGCATGTGATCCTGATGCCAATTCCTGTTTGTCGCAAATCAGCGGGATACACTCAGGAGATCAAAAGCGTAGCTGATTGTTTCCGATCGAGAAGCGACAAAAGCAAATCGAACGTCAGTGAAATGGATTTCAAAACAATCGATGCAAACAATGCGATCAGAACCGTCTATACAATTAGTTCATAAATTGAAAACCATATGGATATCAGTCCTATTGTTATGAAAATGAGCATTAAAAAAATAATGATAGATGGACTGGATACATGAAACGAGAGGGGGCACCTGTGGGAATGAATATCCACTGGCTGACAAGCATATCCTCTGAAGATTTGTTCACTTGCGCTTAGCGTTCCGTCCAAGAGATCAATTCAATTCAACTCAATTTGTAAGCTATAAAACCGTGTACCGTAGACACATTGGTCCAAACTGCTACAATTTCGATCACCGGGAAGCGGGAATGTGGAATACAAAACCAAGCCTCGGGGGCGGAGGCTTATTCAGTTTGTTCGGAACTTGGGTAGCTACGCATTGAAGGCGATAGCTTCGATGCATGAGCGCCACCGACCGTGCGGTTGGGCCATTCGCGCCAGTGTCAATAGCCACTGGTGAATTAAGTCTCGGGCTTTCCACCCAAGGGGGCGGCAGTTGCCTACCCGATTTAGTTTACTGGTTAGCATTTTCGTGCTCCGTTACCAGGTCATACACTGTCCACCTCTAGGTCACATCCACTCAGCACAGGGCCGGAAGACAGACGGTCTTCTGGCATGCGGAGTACATGTTGAGGATATCATCGTGTTTGAATAAGTGAAGATAAGCGTAAAAGGTCACGTTATACATGTGCTGTTGACACAAATCGGCAGAGTGAACTCACATATAATGGGAAAATTAACAATTACGGAAGAATGAGAAGAGAACATGAATGTACAACAGTTTCCTAGCTAGCTGCACAATTAATTGGAAGGATTGCATGAGGATTTACACTTTTACCGCGCAATGCCTAATCTTACGTAAAGCTGTTAAGTACGCTCGATGTTGGTAATGAAATGGTAGATCAGATGATGGTTGATCAGGTAGCTGTCTATCTGTCCACCAAGCCTGATAATTGACTTGTAAACGTTTCGCCACAGTAGGAGGAGGTACTGTAGGTCCGCAGTTGGGTCGGTATGTGCGTTTATGTAGCATTTGAAGATTACCTGTTACCTCTTAACGTGATTGGCTAGTTGAGAAGAAACGATTCGACGAATTTATTGGCCCGCTTCGGAGTTTTATTGCGTTGTCGCATGTGTTTGCATGAGTCGGTTGGTTATTCCGTTGGTTGGATGAGTGTGAGTATTACAACTCCCCAGAAGTTAACACATTGTAGAGTTGGTTAGTCGAGGTTTTTCCATGATGGAAAACAGTGAATCCCCCGTCGCTCATGATTTCGAAAGCAAGTCATCGGATAGCATTGTTCTTACAAAAACCAGCTTTTCGAACCCAGAAAGTAGTAACCAATATGGCAAAGGGTGAACCCGAACGACGGGATCAAAAGTCAAGTCTTTAGCGTTGCTCGGCTACGCCTAGTCGAAGACCGAAGTTCGAGATAAATGTACTGTGAACCACGCTCTACCCACTTTAATTTCCCAGACCCTGGTTGACCGATTTGACGATATCCGCGATAAAATGCCACAGTAATCTACTTCCAAAGTCAAGCTGCGATATTCCGACCAATGTCCATTAGGGAATAGCCGAACAAGATCTTCTGAAGTTGATGCATCATCGACCCGCCAAAGTGGAAACCGTTTGGTCCCATGGTTGTCAGCGGTGCCATCTACCTAGGCAAACTACTATCGTACAGAAAAGTGAAAAACCCGATTCACTGGAAAATACACGACGTGGTCTCGAGCTGTTTAGAGCTTTGCTTCAATGTACATTGAATCGGGGAAACGCTGTTTATCAACACGGATCGTTCTACACCGCACGCTTTAAATAAAGTACGGGGTTAGCAGGTAATATCCCGTCCATATTTGGGCCAAACTCCTTGGATTAAACGCACGTTAGGCATCTTTTACCTTGCAGTCAAACGACTCGACCTTATGGAACGCTGTCTGTAGTCAGAAAACATAGGAAGATAAGCTTGCAGTACCTCCAATCAAAGAAACCACATCATGTGGTCACGTGTCGACTGGGTCCTCCAGTGGCGACTTCTGAGGTGGAAAAAACGGTATTGTTCACATTCGTTCCACAGAAATGAACAGTTTTTATCCACTTGGTAGGGCGTTGCCCCACCAGAAGCTTCTCGGGATCGACATGCATGGATGGATTCTGTCCCACGATGAGGTCACCGATCACAGCAACAAAACATCAACCAAAATCGTGAGGCTGACAGGGTTTGCTCTCTGAGTGCCGATCATTAGCTGTTCTAACCACCGCAAGGCGTTTCTCTCAATTTAAATCCAACCAAGTAAGCTCGAGAGAGCTCAGTGTTTCGAACCTACCCCCAATAGCTCATCTGCCCCTGTATCGGCTTGGGCAACCCGGCAGTATCCCAGCCCTCATACTTCCTTCGGGTGGCATGGCAGCTAGGCACCGAAAGGGTGTTACAGCTGAACGATGAAATGTGCACGCAGAGGTGCCCTTTAAGACCCACTGACTGCAGGTGAGTCTCCCCAAATTGATATGCAAAAGAGCATATCCCACTGGTACAGCTTTTCAGCAGACAGTCAATTGTTTTACATATCTTCCTTTCGACAATATAATCTATTCTTATCACCTCCTTCCCCACAGTAACGGACTGCTCACCAACGGTTTTGTTTTGTACTGGCAAAAGTTGACCTTATGGCTAGAATACTGTCCTCCTCGGATAACATATGGAAACATCGGCAGA